ATATATATATATATATATATATATATATATATATATATATATATATATATATATATAATAAATATATATGAATATATGTAAATTATAATTATGTAATTATATATAATTCGTGTAAATAAATTTTGTCATTATAAAATGATCATTCACATGTACGCGTGTACGCACATACACACACATCCGCTAACTCATGGAGGATCAGTGTACATGTAAATTAGATTAAATTGAATAAAATTCCTTTATCATTTTGTAAACAATTACATAAAATTCTAAATTATTTATCAAGAATGTGAATGACTACGCACCATACGATAGATGAGCTGTGATGGTGACTTCTGCCGCTGTTTGCTTTTATATTAAGTCAAACTGAACAAAAAAGCCCTCTACCATTTTCCAAATGATTACGTTGACGTTTTGTTATTAATTAAAAGAAATTGGTGCATTAACACCCACAACTGTACGCAAAACTTCTTGAATTCTTTAATAATTAAAACGAATGTGCACCAAACTTCTTCAATAATTAAAACATTTCGTAGATCTATAACATGAAACATTCTTAAAAATTTTAAAGCCATTTAAGAAATATTTTTTACATTTAATGATATAATGAGCTAGAACTTTTGTATAAAATGTATGGGTTTTTGACATTTTGAAAAGTTTTTTTGTTACCTGACGCCATTTCTATGACATCTTTATAAGTGTAGAGTATTAAGCAATTTGTATGTAAGTTACAAAACAAGTAAAAATTTATTATTATTAATGGTTTGTTGTTAAAATACAGTAGGTTGTTGATCACAAACACGCATGAACGCAATGCGACACGAGGAATGTTTCCATGCTGGGATGATCCAGCAGTAAAAGCATCCTTCAACATTTCAATCATACATTCTAGTAGCACACAGGTTTTTTCAAATAAACCTGTATTGAAGTCAACAACTGAAAAATATGGTACACAAAGGACACTATTTCATGAAATATCCTCAATATCTACAGAATTTTTAGGGATTGTGATAGTTGACCATCTCAGTAAACCTCAACAAATGAAAATTAACTTTTTCTGGCATGAAGAAGACTTTTTCCAAAATAAAACAAACACACTCCAATTGGCAAAAACCAGCATTGCAGATTTAACGACCACAATATCGAACATAATGCAAATAAATCTTACGGACATAATTGAGAAAATTGACCACGTAGTTTTGAGAACTCCATTGAAATTTGTGAGGAAACCCGGACTTATCGTCTACAGGTATGCGATATATAATTGAAATCTTATTACACAATTTGATTGTGAGAATCGGAAAAATTACTTGACGCTCAGAGTTTGATGATACACATACATCCATGCAATAATTAGTTTTAATCGAAAAAGGTACGCACATCTGTTAATAGATAAAATTAAATTTAATATTTTGTACTTTTCCTAGAAATAATTCCATTTAAAAAATGATGCCATTAAAGAAATTAAAGATGATCTTGACATGACATTTCAAGGTCTTCTTTTAAATTAACATAAATATTATCATTTTTTGTTGTACTAGAAATCATACAAATATCATATAGGAAAAAACCTTTCTTTTCTCACTCAATTTTTTTGAAATATTAGTTGATTAAGCTTTACGAGGATATCAAGTTTATCATTTAATATACTAGTTACGAAGAATAATAGAACCTCGTAATATTTTTTCTTCTTTTAGGAGTTTTTTTTTAAATTTTAGATACGCTAGGATTGCTGTCAATATAAATCTCTTAGATATAATTTTTACCTTTCTTTCGAAGAACTGATAAACTGCCCAATTTTTTTCTTTATCTGTTTTGTTATTATTATAAAAGTTCATTTAAAAGGTGAAAGTATTCACAGTTTTCGCCATTTACAGTTCAATCTTATTTAAAATCACGGACACAAAGGATAATATTACATAAAATTTAATTTGAATTTCACTCTAAATCAATGTGAATCAGTAAAATAATGATTTATATTGAAATTCAAACTCAATGTAATATAATCTTGTTCTTATATTCAACATATTTGAAGCAGAAAATGCTATATATAACTGTAACGCTCAGAAAACACATTCACGAGTAGAGTGTAATTTCAAATACTCACAGATACGGGGTATTGGAAATTTTATGATATCCCAGAAAAGACGAAGGAAAGATTTGGATTGTATTTTTCATCTCTTCATAACTAATAATATATCTAAAGAGAAAATATTCCTTATGACTTATGCTATACTAGGGAAATTTTAAAAAGCTGAGAATTAAATTGTACATATTCTCATGACAAAAAATTTTTGATTTAATAAGTTCCTTGCAATTTGCAGAGAACAAGATATAGCATTCAACGAGAAATCTGGTTTTTCTGGTCGACGATTGAAGATTATGTTGTTAATAGCACGTGAATTGGTACATCAAGTTTTTGATACAGTCAATAACAATAGCTACGTTCACACATCGTTAGAACAAATGCTCGTCTTATTTCACAGCTATTATAGTACGTCCCAGGTCAGCACTCCAGATTATTGCATGTCATTGATTAATATTACTGACATTAATAGAACGCACATTTTGTAGTCTTACAGTTAAAGTACTTTGTCGATCTCGTAATATCATAGTTAAATACATGTAAATATTTTTTATTAATGTTCATATAATATTTATTCATTTTTTTAATTTTCTCATCGACATTACATTTAATTTAATTGTAATGACGGTTTTTTGTAGATATTGACAAAACTTCCGTTAATGGATCTTTTCGTTGTACAACATGCACAGCTTATTATGGATCTTGACTATGATTTTGCGGGGAATTTTCATAATATTACGGATGATAAAGAAATTGATTCGATTACTTACCCTCTGTATCTCTATAAAGGTAAAACTCAATAAACGCAGTTAACTGATTGTTCTGAGGTAACTTAATTTCTCATTCTGTATTATGTGGATTATTGTAGGTGTCGCTCTAATACGCATGCTATTTCATACTTTTGGTCCAGATACTTTTCGGATGGGCATCAGTATATATGTAATAGACAAGTGAGTAATTCACGGTAACATTATAATCACTTCGTCTCGTATTATATTTATTCATGAAAGTTTGTTATGTGCTCGTTTCTTACGTTATCTCATAAGAACAACATTACGCTCAACATGATGATAATTCTGTATTACTACATGTACAATATTGTGCGTATATATTCATGGAGAATTTGACTCAAATATTGTGGAATTAAGAACATTCCTATTTCATAAGAAAATTCATAGAATATTTTGTGCTTTCTGGATAAATCCAGTTCTCTGATACAAATGAGTTAAATTATTCCTTGTTATAAAATTATCTTCTAAACCACTATATTTTCTCAAGAGAGATTATCATAATGCTCAGAAATCTGGTTTTAAGAGATTCTCCGTAGAAGACACTCTGTTCAGACAGACGTTTCACTGTGTATTCTCCGATTTAACTAATTGCGAAAATCACAAATTATCCTTAACGTAAAAGTTTAAGTCTTCAGTTATCAATGATATTTCGACAGAATTCGTGAGCTCTGGAACAACCAACAAATTGTTCACTACCATAAGCATAAACTGAATTATACAATAAGTGAAATAATGGATACATGGCTAAGGCACGGACATTATCCTGAAGTGTACGTTGATCGTGATTTTGGTGGCAACACTGCAGTGTGTTCTTTATCAGTATTTAACTTTGACGTTAAATGGCGGATACCTATAACGTATATTACAGGATCAAATCTTAAACGTTTTACCTTGGGTAATATTAATTGGCTAAGTTATTATCATGATATAACTATTTGTGACATTGAACCAAATGATTTTATTTTAGTCAACTTACAACAAATTGGTGAGTATGGCTCGATAGACGGTAATTATGCAATATAGTGGACCCACTTCCGATGATCTTGACCTTGACATATATTATCAAGGACACTTTTCTGAGTGATATTCAAGAAGTTTTACCCGTCGCTCGTTGTTTGTTAAAAAGTTATTAACAAAAAAAGTTGCGTAAAATGGATGTAATTTTTGAACACTGTATATACGAAAATATAGAATTTGTAGGCTAGGAAGGTACCTGCTATTAAACTGAGTAACATTCAAAAGGTATGAACTGGCGCTTATTGTTTGTTAAAAAGTTATTTACAAAAAGAAGATACATTAATTTTAACACAGAATATTAAGTGTAATAGGTAAACGGTAAGCGTGATTCTTTCTAGACATTTAGTTCTCATAGAGACACGCACCCACGCGCGCGCGTGCGTGCGTACGTGCGTGCGTGTGTGCGTGCGTGCGTGCGAAAAGTATTTCTGTCACACCAATTCATCAATAAAGTATTTGTTCATATATTTCATTTCGTATTTTTCCTTTAAAAAAGCAAGGAATCGTGTGTTACATTGAGAAATTCATGCAAATGCATGTTGAAAATTTGAAAACCGTGTGTTGCGTTTAGTTGCATCGCACACACACACGCACACACACACATACACACACACTGCTCGCCTGCACGCGCGCTCGCGGTGGGTGCATGTGTTTTTACTATATTTGAAGTTTTATAAATAGAATGGTATATTATCTCTCACACATTAATTTATGCAGTGTCGCAAAATTACATGGATAATTGTTAAATCATTCAAATATAATAAGAACACATGCACACACCGCAAGCCCGGGCAGGCGGGCGAGCGCGTGTGCAGGCGAGTAGTGTGTGTGTGTGTGTGTAGCAGGCACTTTCCTAGCGTACAAATTCGATGTTTTTGTATATACTGTGTCCAAAAATTACACTCATTTTATGCAACTTCTTTTGTTAATAACTTTTTAACGAACAACGAGCGATGGCTAAAACCTTCAGAAGGTCACTCAGGAGGGTGGAGGACCTCTACAACATATGTCAAGGTCAAGGTCATCGGAGGTGGGTTCACTATACTGCATAATTACCTTTCAATTGAACTTGCAAAGAAAAAAGAGACGTGATCTTTCAAAAATATTTATTGACAAACGCAGTGGAAAACAGTTTGCAACATAATACTCTTAATTTTTTGTATAATAGGTTACTATCGTGTTAATTACAACAACAGAAATTGGGAAGAGATTACCCGGTACTTACTATCTGACGATTATAAACGTATACCAGTTCTTAATCGAGCTCAACTGATCAGTGATTCGTTTTATTTCGTGAGCAATGGCGAACTCGAGTCCAATGCCTTCTTCGATATTATTCTATATTTGAAACAAGAAACTGATTATATAGCATGGTATCCAATGTTCAACATTATTTTCTATATGTCGACTTATCTTAAATATCCGAAGGGCGCATATGTGAAAGTAAGTAGTAGCAAGTTTCATTAACCAATTTAATCAGCTATTAGTTAATAGACTTAGTTATCGGAAAAGATTGCTTTGCAAGTTGTAGGAATATGTAAAATTGAAAGAAAAGGTTTTAGAATTAGGTACATATTCGCACGTAGATAATGCCTTCGTATGTGTCATGAGACTAGTAAAAAACTAAGAAATATCTTCTAGGATTTTATTGTAGAAATCCTAGGTACACTCCTTAATAATATAGGTTTGGAGAATTCTCCTGGTGAAGAAAACACCGTTACATCTTTGAGATTAATGGCAAAACATTGGGCCTGTATCCTCGGCCAGCAGGCGTGCATGGAAAATGTCAACGATAAATTAACGATACGCATCGCTGACTTGGAAATGGAAATGTAATAATCATTATAATTTCATTTTTCTTGTTAAAATATTTACGTATTATTGTTGATCTTATTGTTCATGATTTATGAATATTGTTATAAGTCATGAATCTGTATGTTAAGAAAGAAGTTGATTAATTTTCGTTAGAAGATTTCATTTTTATTTCCATTTACATTGAGAAGAAATAGTAATAGTAGTTTAATATTTGTGACTTATGTAATTATATAATGAAAGTAATAAGTTGGTTATAAGATGACCAAATTTGCAATGAAGTACTATACACAACGCTTGTGATAACAACCATACATGCATTTCACAATTATTATTTCATATAACGTTATTATTTCTTATAACAGTAAAATAAGATACGCAAATAATGTGCAGAATTGAGAATAACTTAATTCAAATTAATCAATTTTTTTCACAGTGATTACCATAAAATTAATTCGCTATGGATGGACTTGGTACCTTGCACTTTGATGAAGACGCTAAACGTGACCCAGTGGATAAATATTTTGAATAAGGCCCTAGAGGAATATAATAATAATATATTACGGCTTTTGACTTGTTCTGAAAATGAAGATATTATTATATATTATTTGGATCTAATAATGGGATATATGGGATATATGGGATATATGGAATATATTACAAATGACAAAAGAGTACCCTGGAAAGATATATATTATGATATTGTGAAGAGGCATGCAAGCAAGCCCGCTGTACTTAAACATATCTTGGACAATTTTATCATAATAAGATCTAAGTAATTCTTATTTATTAATACATGTACGCTACTAATCATCGTAGCTTTATTTGCACCATATAATAATCAATCGAATGTTTCCTTTTATAATGTTTTATAGACATGCTATAAATGACATCATAACATTTGCTCACATAATTCTGAATGTGTACTCTACTGAAGATCTAGACAAGGTAAATTTTATACGTTGCTAAATATTTTTTTCTCCGTTTAAATGATTTACTTTTATTTCTTAAATAATTTTATTTATCTTTGTATACATTGTATGTGTTAAGTTGCTTTCATTATAATAATTTTGATACATCTCAACACACTAATATACAAATAATGAATCGATAATAATATGTTAACTTTTTAATGTTTCGTTAATTAAAATAATCATTTTAAATTTTTTATTAATAATATAGAACAGGAGAGATTACACACGTGTACATAGAACATAGGAATTTAAGAACAAATTTGCATGAAAAATATAGATGTGTGCATTCATTGTTTATTAATATCAAAATCATCCGTTTTAGATACAAAAATATGTTGTAAAGGATCTCGATCCGTGGGTAAATTACTGTTTGAAATGTACTGTTAACCGCTTGATATCGTGGCAAAAGAAACAAATGGCGAAAATAATCCGTACGTACGGCATGTTCTTTTAAGGCTACAAAAACAAATCGATTTTATTACATTTCGACACAAAAATCAGTGTAGATGGAGAAATTAAAACTGTCATGATCCAAGATACAAACAAATGAAGAAATTCTAAACTATAAATAATGTTAATTCGGAATCATAATTCGAGAATTACATCATGTGTTTTTTTATACAGAGTTAATTATTATTACATATACAGAGTTAATTCATACAGAGTTACCCATGTTAATGCCAAACACATGTTTCATATAATGTAATTTGTATTCTTTCATCATAATTATAATGCACAAATTGTGTGTATTTTTCAGAAAAATTCCTAATATATGAAATCATAAAATATCATGATTCCTGAATTTTATTGTTATTAATATTTATTTTGTATTGTTATTAATATTGTATTTTTATTAATATTTTTTCTCTTTTGCAATCTTGTTTTAATAAAAATGTAAAAAAATGTATTGCTTTGTGTATTGCTTTAAAAAATTTTAATTAGTAACAGTTTAATTGTAATTGATATCAGTTTAATTTTAATTGTACAATTTTACGGTGTGTTACGTTTAATTTACGGTGTGTTAAGTTAAATTTATTTTACAACATCTAGAGTTATTTATGGGAAAAAGTCATAAATATTGCTTACCGGCATTCAATGCAATGAATATCCTACATGTAAAAATATATTCATTTGTTGGAGAGTCTTTTATCTTATACTTTGTAATTATTTACGTTTTCTCTGATAAACAGCTAATTAAAATCTTGTCAGATCACTCGTTTTTAAGCGTAAGGATGGATTTACCTTTCTCGCCTAGCATCCATCGGATCGATGATTACGTCACCGAAAACCAGCCCGCGATCTGTTTCCGCGATCTCACCCTTTCTTCGTATGTGTAACCTGCGTTTCAACAAACAATAATAAGCATAAAGTAATGGGCAGTGAAGTAGGCGGATTGAAGTAAATGTGTATTTTTTTGTGCGAGACATATTTTTTAACAAATTCGCCACTATGGCTTGTTTGAAAAATCCCTTCGCTAGTCATTCAATAAACAAAAATACCGATAGAATTTAATTATTGCAACAATATTCAATAGCGTATAATTTCTTACTTTTTAACGTTGCATGTTACTATGAATAACATCGGCATCATTACAATCTTGTTAAGAGTGATTTCGGCAACTCAATATTTCTAAAACTTCGTAATATTCAAAGAGAGATCATTTTATCCGGTAATATTTTTAAAATATTTTTAAAGTATTAAGTGAAGGAACGTTCAATAAATACACATGAAAGCAATATTTCGAAATGCTGATCTAATGCTCTTTGTTTTTGGGCATCCTGTATGTAATTTACCCTCTTTTATTGTAATTGTATAAAACAGACTTAGTTTGTATATATACAAGGTAAGTCAATAACTATTGTCATTTTGAATATTTTCAGAGCAAACATGATTGGTGACAAAGATGAAAACAAAGGTGATTGATATACCATCAAAATCAATGTTACTATTAATACAATGTTGTCATAATATTTTAGTATATTAAATTTTTCTATAGGAATATATTGTTGTAGTAATTTTCTCTATTGGGGAGAGGGGGGAGGGCAGTGTCGAAATAGCATTTATCTGAAACAGTATATCATACACTTGTAAGAAGTTTCATTCTAGCTTGTAATACATCGTTTAACTTTATTCACTTACAATGGAGAACATTAATATAAAATTTCGAGAAGTTAAGAAATTTACTTAGCCAGCTCAGTTCTTTTCTGTTTCTTATAGTTAAGAATATTATATATTATAAATTTATTCCGATTTTAGTGAAACTAAAGAAACATGTTCTAAAAGATTTTTTCCTAAAGATAATAAAGATCTTATTACCATCTCGCAATTTTGGTTATATATACTATATTTTGGTTATATATATATATATATATATATATATATATATATATATATATATATATATATATATATATATATATAT